TAATTAGTTTCAAATATAGAAACCACGGTTCCAGCTTCTCTCGATCCACACTCCTCAAAGTCTCATTGAGAATGTGATAGAAGGATTTGTCCTTTGGTGACCATTCCAATGTGTAGAGTTTGATGGCGGCTGATTCATCAATGGTCAGGTCATCCATAGATTTTGTGTTATTATCTTTCACAGTCCAGACCATGTGCTGAACTTGATTAACGATCGACACGAGTGGAACAACGGCTTCTTCGAGGGTTACCAATGGTTTTTCTTCAAATCCTTGGATGGGTGGCAGACGTTTGCGTGGTTCACTGGCCACATCGGAAAAGCGAAAGTGGAATATGAGACTATCACAGAATTTATCTGCCATATCTACAGGAAGAAGTACGTGTGCCAAGCGCAAATATGATACAGCTTGTGGTTCTACAAGTTAGCGATAGATCAGCCGTATTGAAAGCATGGTCTTCCTGGTTTTGAACATATGATAGGGGCATCCGTGTGGGAAAATGTGTCTGTTTTCTGGCTCTACTGCGGTCGTGAACTGCTACTACGTGAAAGCTACTAGAAAGTGTCGGATATCATGTCTCAAAACCTTCTACTTCCCTTTTCCTATCCATGAATGCATGCGCGATGCAAATTCTGAATCCGTTTGACAGCGGAATACTATACAGCGGCATCACACATTCGGATTGCTATCTGAGAAAGGGCATCACTTTGTTTCGCGTTAAATCGTCATTGCTTAACTTCGACACAAAACGTCGCAGATGAAAAGGAATCGTGTTCGCCTCTCCCGTGCGCCAGTTGTTATGAAGAGGACGAAGAAAAAATTTCTTTGATGCATCAAAGCAGTCGAAATGTTTATGTGCACCTTCTATGTTGGCATCGCAAAGCACAAAAAAAGAAAGAAACCTTTAAATCAAAACAACTGCTTATTATTGCTGCGTGCACAAATAACACATCGATGATGTTCACATAGGGAATAGAATTTGGTAATGCATTGATGCAGCCTTCTCATCCACGCGACAAAGCGTTTTGTTTGTATTACCACATAACGGCAGCATTCCCATAATTGATGTGTTTCCGAATGGCGGTCTATGTGGAGGGTGTGGATGTGGGTGGGTGTGGGTGTGGGGTGGTGGATGTGGGTGTGGGTTGGGTGTGGGTGTTGGCGTGGGTGGGGTGTGAGTGTGGGTGGATGGGCGTGGGTGTGGGTGCGAGTGTGGGCGTGGGCGCGGGTGTGGGTGTGGGTGCGGGTGTGGGTGTGGGTGCGGGTGTGGGTGTGGGTGCGGGTGTGGGTGTGGGTGTATTGTATCTCTTCATCTGCACCCATACCCACACCCACACCCACACCTACACACCCATACCCGCACCCACACCTACACCCACACCCACCCACACCAACACACCCACACCCACCCACACGCACACCCACCCACACCCAACTAACACCTGGCGGGATTCTCTTTTGAATATGTTTTCGAAATTTGTCTTTTCAAACAGTCACCTGTAGTCTATGAATGCTTTATTATGTTACCATCGGATGCAGAATCTAATCCCGAACAGAATGATGTAGCGTTTAAAGAGAACAGCGAAAATCTTTAGTTTGTCTCGAATCAAAAACAAATAACGGCATGGCAATATCAGAAAAGGGTCTTTTAATTTGTTTTATAGGTATTGCTAGAAAAATTGTTCTTTCAAACGTTTTTTCTAAAATTGTGAAACATTGCGAAATGTAGAATGTCACAGTGTATCTTGCAGCGTATTTCAAATTTTGATATAACTGTTCTTTAAAAATATTTTTAATAACTGTGTTGTTTTTTAACAGTCGCAGTCGGACGGATGACTAATCATCAATCTTTTCAAGTTTTCGTCGGTAAGAAAAACTTGTTTGGAAAACAAGATCAACAGTTTTGTAGAACGAAGAATTCTCTATCGAATCAGCCAAAAAGGAAGTCTTTAATGTTTTGGAAAGTGCGCTAAAAAGAGGGAAATATTTTGTCTCATTTTTTATTGGTCATCCGTTATAACAACATGCGTATTTATTGATGCAAACAGTGTCATTCTCTCTCAAACAACAACCTCGTACCACCTTTGTTCTATAGCTTCACTAGGGGATGCAGCAGATCTTATCATCGTTTCGATTTCTTTCTTATCTTTAGCAACGAATACTAATTGTTCTCTTTACTTATAGGTATACAAGAGCCAAACAGATAATGTCTTGATTCATATTAGTCGTTTTGAAAGTGACAAAGTATTACAAATATGTCCGAAGAACTAATTCTTCATCACTACGAGCGATCACCATTCAGCGAGAAAGTGCGACTTGCAATGGGCTTAAAGAAGTTAAACTGGCGCTCTGTGTTAGTCAATAATATACTTCCACGACCTCATCTCAAACTGCTGGCCGGTGGATATCGTCGTGTGCCCGTCCTTCAAGTAGGTGCTGATGTGTACTGTGACACTCATCTAATTTTACGCGCGCTCGATCGTCTTCGACCCGACTCATCTGCACTCCTTTCAAATAGTGTCACACAACCTTTGTGTTGGTGGTGGGATAAATCGATGGTAATGCCCGGAGTCAGAGTATTAGCTGGGTTCCACGGCGACAAGTTACCCGAAGCTTTTATCGAAGATCGAAAAAAATTTGCTCCCGAACGTAGTTTTTCCAAGGAAGATAACGAAAAAGATATTCCAGTAAACGTGCAACGCGTCAATTCACATCTCGCCTGGCTAATGGATATACTGGCTGATGGTCGTGAATTTCTACTCGGAGATTCGTCACCATCTGCATTCGACATCACTGCTTATCATGGATTATGGTTCGTCATGGAAGTCTTGGGTAATGAAGTCGAGAAAATTTTACCACAGCTAAACCAGCCTAAATTATTAGCTTGGTTCGAGCGTGTGGCTAAATTCGGTCATGGTACGAGAAAAGAAATGACAGCTGAAGAGGCACTCCATGTGGCCAAACAAACTGAACCAGTCGAGCCCACGTACATCCAAAATAATTCAAAGAGTGAATGGCATGTTGGCCAGCAACTACGAGTGACACCTGATGATGTTGGTCGTGTACCAGTCGAAGGAACGTTTGTCGCAGCAGACAACTACGAGATTGTGCTCCGTCTATCGAACGAAACGATAGGCAATGTTAACGTTCATTTTCCTCGCGCTGGCTTCGATGTCATTCCAGTTTAATTCACTTGAATTATTTTATTTTTTTCTGTGCTGTGAAGTGTGATTTTACGACCAATAAATATAAGCATGTTATGCATCTTTTCTTTTAACATAGTGTTGTACTGTGTGAACAATTCAATAAAAGAAATTCATTCTTTATTATATCTTCAATAGATACAAAAAGTCTTCAAAATGATTAGAATATTGTTGGCATACATATGTCTTCGTTTTTTAAGTTCAACAGAAAAGAACCGAGCTTAATTGCACTTTCAAAATTCATCTCTCTGTTTTCCTTATGTGTCTGTACAAACTATTGATCCGTATATCATGCTCGTTATTGTTCTTGCTTACTTTCTAACCACATTGTCATCTTTATAAAGCTTGTAAGTGAGTCTTAAAGAATCAATACAAGGAGTTTCATTGCCTACGTGACAATGAGTTGCTATTAGAATAAAGCATGCGAAAGAAAGTTTATCTTTTGAAATCTAGCATGAATCATCTCACCATTCTTTGTGTGGCAATTGGATCGATTTCAAACCACATGTCGATGAAATGTAGCCGGATCATCGACTAGACTCTCTTCATATTGGTCAATATCACGCAATCGAACTATACTTTGCTTTGCTCATTCACAATAGTCTTCAAGAGCGATTTGACTTGGGCCAAGGTCCTGACATGTCATCCGAAATGATTTAAGCTTACAGTTCCGAAAGAAGCCTGTTATTATGGCAAAAAAGTCGCTGTTAACGATCATCTACAATGTCAAGCATTCTTTTGATTGATCTAAATGTTGTTTCTTCTTTAGTGGACGTTTGATAAACCCACACCCACACCCTTCATTTGTTCGACCTATGGCTATGGTGGATAAAGAAAATATTTGTACACGAATAAATTAAGGTAAAGTATATCTTTTTTGAAAAACTCGAAATCGTATTTATGTTCCTTCTCAAATATCTTCCAATCAGCTATAGTATGTCGAGCCCGTTCAGACAACCTCCTTGGAAAGAAACTATTTCTTCTAAACCCCATATCTTTGTACCAGGATTTTTCAGGTGACATTATTATTCCGTATGCTCTCCAAGATTGTTGAAACTCGTATGCATCTGGTGCTCTCTTAAGATAATAACTAAGACAAAGCCAATATGTGTACAATGTTGAATAAGACATGGAACTATGCAGTGAAACGCCCTCTTTCCAACGCTGAAAACCGTAGTTCTCTATCTTATTCCTATCAAAAGTTATTCGCAATTTAAGACTGGTAAGTAACTTTTGGACCACCCTGCAGATAGGAATTTATAAATCGAAATATATAATGATTAATTCCCTCTTTTACAATACTAGCAGCTCCATCGTGTTTCACATTTTTATGTTACAGCGATTGCGCTAACAGCTATTTTTACCAAACGTAAAAAAAGGTTTCGTACTGACCAGTGCCTCAATACAATTAGCCTTATCGACTTACTCTTCTACCTTTATTCCTATGCTTAATCTCTTACTTCTACATTTTCAGAAGCTTAGTCCCAATTTAATGACATTGTCAACAAGTACACCTATCAACTGCGCCCTAATTGAAGGATTTCATCTGTTTGGAAACGTGACTTTGATAAAGCTGAATTTTATAGAAAATGTACAGCAGAGTAAGGGCTATCTTGTGATGAGATCAAATTATTTACAATAAATTCCCTTGGTGATCAATGAATAATAAACTGTTATACATTCACTACTCTTTCTTGGTTTTTTTGTTCATTTTTATATTCAAACAACAAAAAGAATTAGAATATCAATTAGATAACTGCACACATTATTTTTCAAGCCGTAAAATATGCAAAAGTCATTTATTTTTTAATTGTAACAACACGTTGTACAAAACCTACTGATCCAGGTGATGGTGCACCTAAATCATCAAATACTGTTATTAAATTATTTTTAGACATGAGCCAATCCGATGGAATATGATAATAACGTTGAGTTGGTTTTAAACAATTTATTTGAGCATGCTGACAACAACATGGTGGATTATTTTCACAAAAACCTTGAATTAACCAATAAAGACCAAGGTCATTTCCATTAATAAATGCATGACCACGATTAAGACCTTGAGCATCAAGTAAAATCGGATTAACATTTGTATCTTCTCGTATAAGATGATCGAGATCAAATCGTGCTTGAAACCATGTTATTGGTTTATCAATATTTTTTGTCCACTGTGTATCCCAACTAACTTTCGATGAACCTTGTTCAGTATAAATTTGAAGATATTCACCAATTAAACCTTTTTGATGTTGCCAAAAATTTGTTTCCGTTTCATTATCAAATAATAGTTGTCTATCAAGCCATACATTACCAACAATACCTTTTTGTTCGAAAAAATCAGTTTCAACACCACTGAAAATTCCAAATGAAATCGAAAGAATTTCAAACAAGTATTGTTGATTTGGTTTAAAATGTGAAAGATCAACTGCTAGATAAGCTTCTATACTATTACCAACTTGATGATTATGATCATCAAATTCGCCTAAATATTGTCCATTCAAAAAGAAAAGTAAAGCATTAGATATACGTGTTTGAACTCGAATTATTGAATTTGCTGATGCTTGTTTTAATGTCACATTACGACGATACCATAAATAAATTGTATCATCATTTGTTATACTAAGTTGTTCAAGAGGACTTGGAGATGTTATTACTGATAAATTTAATATTTTCGATGATTCAGACCATGTTTGCCAATTAAGTGGACCAACAACAACAGGAAATATTTCTGTATTATCACTATCAATATCACTATAATTAGCACTATTCCATAATAAGTTCATATTGTCATCATATATTAGAATAGATTGATCATCTATTGAAATATTTTGATTACGAAAAAGAACATTGACTGGAACAGTAGCCTGACTAATAACAAAATCAATCGAAGGTGGATATGAATATACAAATTGTTGTGTACCATATGCCCATTGTTTTCCATCCCACCAAGGTAATGGAATACGAGTTGAATCTTGACTTAATATAACTTGAGCACGATCAGCAATTAAATGTTGAAGTCGACTTAAGTGTGTATATTTTGGTTCATTGGGTGTACCATCAGCATGAAGACATACATCATCAGCATACAATGTTGTAATACCAGACGCAGCAATTCGTCCATAATTATTTCCACCATGCCACATATAATAAGCATGATAAGCACCACCAGCAGCGAACCAACTAGCAACTGAATAAGCAATATCCGATGTTTTACGAATAGCAATCGCTTCTCCCCATTGTTGAAACCATCCTTCATTTTCAGTAAATAACATTGGTTTATCAGGAGAATATTTACGATGATTATCGATCCAACCATCATCTAAACAATTACATGAGTTACATGTTTCAATTGTTGAATTAGCTGCATGACCATTACACATAATCCATGGAATTTCTGTTGATGAAAGTTCATTACTTACTAAACTTCCACACCAATCAACATAACCTTGATCATTACCATTGTATTCATTTTCAATTTGAGCAAGAATAATTGGACCACCATTTTTAGCAAGATATGGTGTAACATAATCAATAATTGTTAAAATGAATTGTTTCATTAAACGTTTCCATGGCTCATTATTTGAACGAAATGATATATTTGGTATTTGATTAAGCCAAACTGGTAATCCACCATAAGTCCATTCAGCAGATACATAAGGACCGATACGTAAATTTACAAATAAGCCAGCATTAGTAGCCTCTTGAAGAAAACGACTTAAATTAGCACGACCGGTAAAATCAAGTACATCTTGTTTTTGTTCATGAAGATTCCAAAATACATACGTTTGAATTGTATTAAGTCCTTGATTTTTCGCCATTTTCATTATATATGGCCACATCATTGGAGTTGAACGAGGATAATGTATAGCACCTGATATAAGCATTGTTCGAACACCATTTATTCTTATTGCTCGATGATCATAATCAACTTTGTATGGTGTACCTCGAACATCTTCAAACGTTATTGGATTTGCAGTTGCATAGGTCAAAATATGAAAACAGATATATAATATAGGTAACAAGTGCATCTTTTGTTTTTAAGATGCATTAAAAATTTCATACTTTATAAATAGATGATAGACATTATGCTTATCTCCTCCACGTTTTTCTGATTTTGGTCCAGGTGAAAAAAAAAAGTACACATGATAAACACTCTCTACATGTAACTAACTGACTGTGGAGATCTTTTTAAAAAGACAAACGAAAGCCGTGCAGATAAGATATAAAAGAGAAAACAGAAATAATTGTTTTTCTTTTCATTTACTATCAAAAAAGATATTCGTTCGAAAAGTGTCATAGTAAATTTCTTCTATTGCAGTGGTTCTCATACAGCCAGATGTCCCTTAGATCGCTCTATCGAATGGTAAAAATCCAAACTCATTTGTTATGAAATGGTCAAAAGTTATTCAAAAGATAGTAGTTGGCATTTTTTAAAAAATCCGAGATTAGTACTTGTGGAAAAAATTCCAACTCGATAGATCACAGTATGCCGGCGAAATGGGGGCTTTTCGGCACTTTTTTTTTCTGAAAAAAAAACTAAGAAACGTCGTTTTCCGTATATTTTGTTTTTTGTTATTTTTCCGACTAAAGTTATTAAATATTGTGCTTGCCCAGCGATGTTAGAGTTCCATTACAGATTCATACAACACGTCAAAAACACATATTCGATAGAGGACACTTGAGTGCTTCGCCCACAATGAAAAACCGCAATCGAAAAATTTGACTCTTCGATCCTGTGAAAAGAGTAGAATGCCCTTAAGTAAATGTTTCTCTAAGCTAGTTGCTTACTGTTCGCGATTTGCATCACATCTACGGTAGATATTTTATAACTAAAACAAAATCAATCTGACGATAGCTAATTTTTTCAGATTGGACGAAAGTCTATCAAATCCTTAGCTAATATCGGCTTGAGGCTATTCAGAGTCGGAAATTTCTTTTACAGATGCAACTGCACATATCAATTTGACATGCTTCGAATTAATACAAACTCGGTTCTGGTGGTAAATAAGCGAGTAAAACAAGAGTACATCCCACTGAAACAACTGAATATTGAAGCAACTCTAAGAGCTTTTGCTAATGATGATGAGTGCATTGTTTTCCGATCGAAGAACAAGCGGCTGTCTACGCATTTACAACTCGTATTGACGACCGGAAAATCAATGTGAGCGCATTGTTACTAGGCAAAGAATATTATACATCGATCTTGTGCGAGAGGGTCACACGATTCGGTTTATTATTCTAACCACAATTGCTTCTCGTTACAATCCGCACAAATATGTTCTAAATCAGTCCGTACACAACCGAATTGCGTTGTAGAGTAAACAACATTGGAATTTTACAAGTCAGCTCATCGTCTCATCCGATTCAAATTGATCTCAGTCAACCCGATTTCTATGCCATCGAATTCACTCAACAGAATATTCATTTGGATCGAGATATTATAGCGCAAAAAAATGAATAGTATGATCTGAGTTTTCGATTACTAAGTTAAGATTTTTTCGAGTGAATCATGAAATAATCATTCTTCGTGCTATCTAAAATGATAAAAGGTCATATCAGTAATTTCTAGTTTATTATTCGAAAAAGAACTTTTATTTGACAATGATAAACAATGAATATCGTGGCTCTGATAAGAATTCTTCAGCAGTTGCTACTAATGGTCGTTTGGTGGCATAAAATTAGCTACAGGTCCCTGTACAACATTTTTCCACAATGAGAAACGGTCACATTTACTACAGTAAATTTCCATGACTTCAATTCCTTCACCATTACCATTATCATCATTTTGTGTTGGTAAATAACTCACAAACCAGTTGTATGGTTGCACTTGTGAATATGACCGTGGTGGAAAATAACATTCTGATTTGCATTTTAAGCATTTGATCTGCAATGACTCATTTTTGTCATTCATATTTTCAGGTTCAGTATGTGATTGCTGACTGTCATCATTTATCATATCGACATTGATCTTGTTTTGTGATTCACCATGAAAATAACAGATAACTGAAACAAATGGAACTAAAGAAAAACAGTTACATTATGTGAGACTATGTTAACATATCACGAGTTCTTACATAGCTAATGATTTTGTTCTTCTTTCTGTATGACATTCATCGTTGGTCGAACTGTTATATACTTGTGAAACAAGCTTATACGATTGGTACTAGAAATATTGCAGAAAAGGATTCAGATAATGTAGAAGAGGAAGATATCAAAGTTGTAATTTCCAGTTACTCGAAGAAAGATGATATGAAACATATTTTCGTGAATGGGAAGCTTTTTCTCACAGATCTCAGAAGCAAAAAAACTAGATGATAATGCGTAAGCTTCTGTGAGAAGCTGACTTTTGAAGCCATTTTTAATCGTTAAATTCCATTGAAATTCCCATGTCTGAATATGGAAATATTTCCTTTTCTACTTACTGCAAACCGTACGTAGTCGTATGATGTACACATTTCCATGGTTGTTTCTTTCGTCGTTCGTACAAACATTGAAATCTTAATTTTTCATTTTCGAATACTTTTTCATCTAGTGGTGGTGGTCCATCTGAAAAACAAACTTCAATTTCATCTATTTATTGTTATTCTTCATAACATACCTACCATTTCATTTTTAATGGCATCTGTCCACAGTTGATCATTTGTATCAATTAATGTTTTAAAAGTTTTGTTCACTTGTGAAAGCGAATATAAATCAATATATGTTAAATGTGGAAGTATATTGTAAATAACAAGTTCAGGTGGTAAAACACATAGTAGATGTGATGATGATGAATATTCCGATTGAGATACACATTGTTGATACGATTGTTCACAATGATCATTGCAATGACTATGATTGTTACTCACATTTGCACAGAAAATAAGAGAGATCTTTAACAAAAATGTACAGAAAATATCAAGAGATAAGTTGTCGGTTTGCTGGTATTGTGTCAGAGTAAATTTGTCATGTAGTTAAAATGGTCAGGATAACCACCAGAGTAACTAAGAGTATTATCCTACTTTTTTCAATGAGAGCATATTTTTGTACTTTGTTTAGGGAGTCTTATAAAGCCTTTTCGAAGATACTAACCAAAAGTTTTCGAACTCTTTTAACCTTACATTGAATAGCAGGTCGATAATATGACGTGTTCACGCTCTGACTAGCTTACTTGGTCGTTGTGAACACGTATGTGTCAATCTCTAAGAGAAACGAAGGGCATATCATAGAATGAGAGGTCAAAATATATAAGCAAAATATGAGATAGCGGCAAGCAATGAACCAATAAGGAATAGATGAGAATGAGTGTTCATTCGTTGGAATATAGTAACGTTCGTAGCAGACAAAACGGCAAGCATAGACAATATGTGATCATTCCTATATGCTTCGCCAAATATTGATTGAACTAATGCTAGCATCGATATGCAACGCTGTGCAGACAAAAAGAAACAAGAAAAAGGAACTACCCGTGTGAGAGTCGAAACGAATTGACAGCGGACAAACAACTACAATAAATAAGAACGCAGGAAATGGATGATTGGGTGGGTGTGGGTGTCAGTGTGATTGAAGAGATCCCACGCCCTCTCAAAAAGAGATAAGATACCTCCAATCTTTTGAAATTTTCTCTAATCTCTAAGAATATTTAAAAAAGTTTTCTCACAGGAATACATTTCCATTCTCTAGTGATACTGTGCAATGCGATTTCATTTTTGAGAAACTTTCATATCGAAAGATAAAAATATGTAGAAATCTTCTATTTCAAGAATAAATATGGATCATAATAAAGCTACTTTTAAGACTCGTCGAAATTTGTTACCAATTTAGATGCATTAATCAAAATAATTTGAATTTTATCTTCCATATTTTTGACAAACAATCAATCGAATTCTTCCCGAAAATAGAAATTATATAAGTTTTCAAATTGTTTCAGAGTTTTAGAATTAACAAATCTGTGCACATCAGTTATGGTAGTAAAAATATTAAAAAGTAGACGCTATTCGATCTGTATGTTATTTTATAGCTTGATGTTTGTAAGAAATACGTTTATGATAAAGAAAAAAAGCAAAATGACACAAATTGAAATAGAAACTTTTCATACTCTTGATAAGGAAAGATTTATTTATGATTGATGATAAGCAATGAAAATGTTGTCAATAACAATTGACAAACCACAGAACATCGTTTAATACACTATTTTATGCTCTGTTGATGTGTACGACAATCACATAGTTGACAATGCAACTCTCTCTAATATTGTCTTTGGGCGCTGTAATCGCCAATATTATCATTTTCGTTTTGGGTATTGTGGCTCTGACTACTCCTACTTGGCTCAGTTTAACCGTGTCTCAATCAACAAAGCTTACCTATAGTCTTTTCGAACGTTGCATTACATCGTTAAGTAGTGAGACTCCTTCAAAGCGATGCGAGAGGTTAAGCGATTTTGATACAGCTCAAGACCTCTTAATTGCTGGTTTAATTATATTATGGCTCGGTATTATTGTGTGGATTCTGTTAGGTGTAATCTTTAATAAACGTTGGATCAAGTTGATACCACAAATTCTACTCATTACTGGATCTACTTTGATTCTCATTGGAGCTCTTGTTTATGTAAGAAGTGTGCTACGAGATTTTACGAGTATTACAAGTAGCACAAAACTGGATCTTGGATACAGTTTTATATTAATTTTGGTTACGTGTATTATTGGCTACATTTCAACTGCTTATCTTGCATTTACCACCGGTTATGATCAAAATGATCATCATGAACATCTGTCGTATCACGCAACGAAATGAATTATGAGAAATAACTGAACAGAAATCATATTGATTAGAGCCAAAACCTGTTTTATAAAATAAATTGATCGGATAGACATTTTAAATCTAAAAAAACTCACTTCGATCTCGTTTTTCATCTATTAGTTTTATATCGCTTTTTTTTTCTTCTTTTCTCAACAGTTTTGTTTTTGTATTAAAACGTTGATAAAAATAATAAAATAGAAATTCATAGCTATTCACGTATAAGGGGTATGAAGTGATGTACTCTATGTTCTAATAATTTTTTTTTCATCTTCCTATTTGAGCAATTAGTAAATTCAATAACAACGAAATTAAGATTTAATTCTTCCGTAGTGTCGTTTGCAAATAAATCTCTAAAATTTTCAGATAAATTTTCGGTAGAGTTGTCAAATAAACTTATTTAATTAACTACAAGCTAGTATCAAAACACTAAAAGTTGAACACTTCTAATCAACAAGAATTTCTAGTATAACAATTAGGTATGAGGTATTTTAAAACTCTTTGTTTTTTGTTTTTGACGACTATTTTTATTAGAAAACGTAGGCATATTGAGTTCATGAATTTGCCATGCTTCAACCAATCAATTCTGAATTGTTGTTCTAAATAATACTTCTTTTAGTTTTATTAATGATAGAAATTTCTATACAGTTAGTTAGAATATCCAAAAAAAATTAAAGCTACCGGACAGTTTGTTTTTATTCAAACCTGAATTTTGACTTTTCTTGAATGTACAATTAATTACTTGAATATATGTGCTTTGTACTTTATGTTATTTGCTAGTTTTCAAAATATGTTTATTACACAAACTACATATTTCATTGTAAGAAAAAGATAAAAAAATACATATGGATGTATTGTATTGTTAGTAGGTTCCATCTTATGAACTTTTCTTCTATTATTAATCACCTTTCCAACCAGTTTTTTTCAACCATTGTTCAAATGTATTCAATTTTATTGATTTTTGTCCACTTGTCCAATCTTTGTCTTTTCCATCATAACCATATTCTTCAAACCATTTGAACCAACAAATTTTTCAGGATTTGCTAATATTTCACGAACAATAGGATCTATATCATCGATATTCACTAAATTTAGTTTCGCTATTGGATTAAGTGGAGCTAAAAATACAAGTGTATCATCGTCTAATTTTGCTAATTTAGGAAAAATTTTCCAATTTTGCATGTAGCATCAGGTCCAACGTAAATAGTTTTCAAGTTTGGATACTTTTCCTTTGCCTATAAAAATATTCTATAAGGATGTGGATGTTATTGTTATCCACCATAACCCACACCCACACCCCATAAATTCTCATTGTTTGTTATAATATTCGTCATAAAGAAAAATAAGAATTTATCAGTTTTTACAGTATGCCCCAAAATCTTGATGCAATGCAAAAGATACTTCAGGAATTCTATTATCTGAGAATGCTCGTAAATACTGTCCTATTTAACAAATAGTATAAACCTTCGCTAATCGATGAATGACAGAAGATAGTCTTCGGGGAAAAAAAATCTGTCTCAAATTCATGTTTATATGCACATGTATATAAATGAGTATTTGCAAAGATCATCATCTCGATTTAACAGCTATGATTCGTGAAGAAAACTGAATAATAGTGTACAAATCTACAGATTTATGAATAGCCATGTGACTATTGCAAATTTCAAATCATGAAGAGCTTGTACTCGTCATGGTTGCCTGTCCGTCTGTTACCAGATCAAAGGTCAAACATTTCTAGGATTTTCTAGAACTGCTCAGAACAATATAGAATTAACTAAGACTCTGGAAAATTCCAGACCATGGTAGAATATTGTGGAATTTTCTAAGACTTTCTATGAGAATTATACGGTCAGGTCAAAGATGAAACATTTTTGGAATATTCTGGAGCTGTCGAGAATGATGTAAAGTTAAAAGGATTCTAGAATATTCTGAAACTTAACACAATATATGAAGCTCAGAAACAGAGACAATAAAACGTCGCAGGGAAGATAGGATATATAGTGTGACTGAAAGATGGAGAATTTATCTCCAGAGGTATGAGACTTAAAGTATTATGCGGGAGGAGTCAAACTAGTATTCATTATAAAGTATACTAAACTCTTTATTTACCTACTGTAAGCAATCTAAATTGCTTATGATAAGTCGTATTCACACAGTAACACTCCTGCTTTTCTTTTCATACATGTCAAATGGATAAGTATTCTTGAGAATCGAGCACGTATTTCTTCAATGTTTACCTTTGTAAAATCAGTCCCTTATCTAATCCTAGATGCTTTCAGTTTCAAACATTCTATCGTTCCCCATAATAGAAAAAACAAAACTATTAAGAGTGAGTCTCAAGAAGTGACTATCTGATTTAACTCCTAAATAACCATCTGTGCAACTGGTTCTACAAATAAGGAAATAAGTAAGATTTCACTGTAAAAAAAACTCTATATGAAACAAATGGTTTCGAAATAAAATCTATCTTTCTATCAAACCAAACAATTATTTGAGACAATGATATGAGATAAAAACGAATGAGTTCTTTCTTCATCTGTTGAGAGTAAAACTGATAAAATAGAAGGTTTTTGTGAAGTATAAATTATCTCCTTGACTTATAGAAACGCAGAGCAGCAGGTCTTTTTTAGAAAAAAAAAACGGAAGTTCGGCTTCTGATCGATCAAAATTGATACGAATAATGACATCTTATCGTTCTATTGATGATAGAATTTTAATTTCCATTTTCGACGTTAAATATGCCGTACTTTTAGATGAACATTGAATTTTCCGTTTACATCATACTTATTTCACTGTCGTTCGTTCAAAGTGTCTATCGTAGAATACCAATCGTTCAAAATGATCTCACAAGAACATTATCTATGGATGAAGCCTATTTGATTGTATACAATAGAAACTATTCAAATGATATTGCATTATTCGGCAATAAAGTTGTATGCGAAAGCTGTAATCTTGAAAAAATGATTGTGGTAAAACCGAAGCGAAATGCTACTATAATTATCAATACAAAATATGCGTATAATTTTGAACTTCACACATGGCCGTCTAATAGATCTTTATCATGCCAAATTGTATCATACAAATTCGCTGAACATGGTACATATATACTTAGTATTATGGAAATGAAACAAGATGGATGTATTTATTCTATAGAACAAATCGGAAATCCAAGTTACTATTGGATTCCTGTTATTATTGGTATCCTATTCATTGTTATATATATTATATTAGCTCAACTTTGGCATCACATATATCATAAACATTATTTTGCTCGTCTTTGTTCGTATAAACAATTTGTCGATAATAATAGTGAAGAAAAATCATTATCTTCAACAAAAGATATTGAGCAACAAATGGTAAATAAATCTAATGTGAATATTTATGATGCTGCTATCAATACCAATGAATTACCACTACCTGGTTCAACAAATGTATCTAATGATCGTATTCGTATGAAAAAAGTTTTGTGCAAACGTCTTCAAGCTTTAGATACTTTTCGAGGATTCTCACTTATGGTTATGATCTTTGTCAACTACGGCGGTATGTTTTCTAATAATTACATTATACAAGTTTTCAATTGATGAGAATATTCATAAGATAAGTTTGATTGTAGAGAAGTTTATTTGAATTGTTTTTCATCTCTTTGGTCATGAAACGAAAAAAAAACGTATTTCAAACATATTGTACAAGTGAAAACAGGATAAGAGTCATGGCTTAGATCGAAGCAATAAGCTGATTGTTTATACGTAAAACCATTCGTTAGCGACGTGACTGAGTACGCATATAGAAACAAAAAATTCCCTTATCATTGAATAATAAATCCGAAAAAACAAAACAAAAGATTCCGTGTCAGAACATCTGAAAAACTTGTTTTGGGATGGAATTTTTTTTTTGGAATCGAATCTCACTAAGAATTTGACCATAGATGTGTAGTTTGTAGTGTCGAATCTATCTTGAAATTTTCGGCCTTTTTGGATGAACGAGAATTCAAGCAATTTCAAGATGAGTTTACTCTCGCATTGTATCAGCAAACGTATATCAATAGTTCAGATTTTTAAAAGTAGAATTTAGAGAATAATCTTAGAATCGATCGTTCTCCAATTCTACATTGTTAACTATATCAACTTTATACTAACAAGAACTTTTTTTTTTTTATAGGTGGTGGTTATTGGTTTTTTGATCATTCAAGTGAGTCAAACAAAGAAGAATTATTGTTTCAGTTTAATTGTTAATAATTTTTTTCTTTTTACTAGTTTAGAATGGTTTAACATTAGCTGATCTTGTATTTCCTTGGTTTACATGGATGATGGGTGTTTCAATTGTTCTTTCACAACGATCACTTCGTTCAAAAAATCTACAAAAACGAAATATTCTATTGAAAATTTGTCGACGAACAATTATTCTTTTCGTATTAGGTAAAAAAAGAAAATTACATGTGATTATGACTTTAAATGATATGCGATACAAATATATATATATAGGACTCAGTGAACAAGATGGTGTACCAAAATTGGAAAATCTTCGAATTTTTGGTGTTCTTCAACGATTAGCAACATGTTATTTCTTTACTGCTATAATTGTTCTTGTTTTTGATAAAAAATACGATGAACGAGATACGACACGATTATCCATTTGTAAAAAATATTAATTTTTTTTGTCCTATGATAAAAATCTCTTTTTTTTTTGTTTTATAGGTGACAATGAAAAACAATCATTATGTAGAGAATTATTTAATAGTACGTTGCAATTTTGGATTCAATGGTTTGTTGTTCTAATGATTATGACTGTTTGGATTTTGATAACTTTTCTTGTTCATGTTCCAAATTGTCCGACTGGATATTTAGGTCCTGGTGGAAAACATGATCATGGAAAATATATGAATTGTACTGGAGGTAAAGTCTTGTGAAGTTGAATATTGTTATTTATTTATTTATTTATTGTAGGATCTGCTGGATATATTGATCGATTGATTTTAGGAAATACTCATTTATATAATGAACCAACTTGTAAAGAAATCTATCATACTAAAGTACCTTATGATCCCGAAGGTGACAAATGATTCTTTTTACTTTATTAAATTCATAGAAACTTTAAAAAATACTTTCGTTTTAAACAAATGACTTAGTATATGAGACGATTTGTTTTAACTTTCCCTAGACTTCTTATTTGATATGTTTCATGGATTTTTTTTCTGACAAATTATGATAATGTTCTGATTAATATTTACCGGAAATTATTCTAGTAAAAATACTATTAGAATCAATTGACAAGGAAATTGAATAATTGAGGTTAATATGATAAATTTAATTTAATTTTTATTTCCTAAAAACGATATAATTATCTCTGAAATTCGATTAGAATATATGAAAATGCGATTCATTCGATATGCAAACAGAAAATGTGTATTTAAGATTATTTCTTGTGATGAATATTTTTTTTTAATATTCAGGCATTTTGGGTATTTTAACGGGAATTCTTCTATGTTATCTTGGTGTTCAAGCTGGTCATAGTTTTATTTATTCGACTCGTGTTCGTCGTATTTGTATTCATTGGTTAATATCAGGTATTATTTGTGGTTCTATTGGTTTGATCTTATCACGTGGTGGTCATTCAAATAGTTGGATTCCAATTAATAAAAATCTTTGGTCACTTACATTCGTATTAATTCTAGCAAGTTTAGCTTTTTTCATATTAACTATTCTTTATCTACTTGTTGATGTTAATCGATGGTTTACTGGTAGTCCATTTCTCTGGTTAGGTATGAATTCAATTGCTCTTTATATAGGACATGGTCGTTTTGGAACTAGTTTTCCCGTACAATTCGATGTTGATAATACACATGCTAAACAACTTGCGATTCATCTCTATGGTGCATTTTTTTGGTCATTTATTGCTGCTTTCATGTATTATAAGAAAATTTTTATTGCTATTTAACTTTAAAAGAAAACATTGTAATGTTCTTGTTTTTAATTATTGACAATTGAACATTTCTATTATAATAAAATTCTTAATCTACATTTGAGTTTATGAGTGGGTATGACTGTGGCTTTTCTTTTCTCCGATTTCATACGCATATACCCACACCCTATATATGCATTCACAATCAAAGCTAGGCCTCACATTATGTAGAAATTAATATCATACTTTATACTCCCTTCGCAATGAAGTTCTTTGTACACGTGTGAAATTTTTCTTTGGCTGCATTCACTTATCGTATACTTATCATCTTGAATATTTTACTTTTGATAAGTGCAGCTATTGTCAACAAAGTTTGTAGGTAAAAAATATTCAAATAAAAAGAAAAGAGAAGGTAGAAAATAAAGATAGACCATCTCTATCTTCCACAACTAACAAACAAATTATACGATAAACAAAGACAAAGTAAACGATGTCACATATACAATATTACTTATATCACCAGCAACGCATCTCAAAAGTCTTCAACACGATTTCGATAAAAATTAATCGCCTGTAGTAAGCAACTTATTAGGATGATTTTGAAAAGAATTCAAAATATTTTGACAGTCAAATATATAACGTCAATTTGATCCTAATATTTGAAACTATTGAAGTCGATATGATATCGTAGCTAATAGCCAGCATTACTTAAGTCAATCCGCTTGGCTATATATGTTAGTTATCTATTCGTCTCGATTCTTAGATATTGCCAACATTTCGAATGATTAGTTTTCTTTGCTTTCTTCCTCATCTTATTCATAATCTTTTGTTACTTGATAAAAATATATTGAATTATCATCAAAATCTAACAAATAATGTGATGACAAAGAAGTAGCAAAAAAAAACGTATCTGCAGAATGCTTCTGAACTCAAATCAATGAAAAGGAGTGAGCAAAGCGGATTACAGGCTCGAATTACGATGAACTTTCGGCCGGATCAAAATTTCTCTAAGACTTTCGGTTCGCCCTTAAATTGACTTCATTTAACCGCTCCGCCCCCATCCCTTCCTTAATGAAAAACCTAATTTTTTTAACTAGCTGCCAGATATCATAGTGCTCACCAAAGAGGGTGTGTGCCTTCCCTCTGCTAACACATACACCTCACACTCACACCCAAAACATCAAACACTATGCTTTGTTTTTGTTTTTGGCCGATCCATCATTATACTTCAATGTTATTTCATATGAAAATAAAACAGCAGTGATGTTATTCTCTCTTTTTCTAGATTTTTGACGTTTATCCTTTTTTGCTGTGAACGGAAATATAACAGATGGCCAAACCAATACAATCTGGTAATAAAACTCGTTTTACTGATCTCTACAATGAACCTGTAGATCATCTATTGTCACCGATAAAAGGCTATCAAGATAAACCACTTGTTTCACTCATGGAAGCTATTGAACCGGTTTCAAAAGTTTTTAATGAAATTGAAGACAATGTTTTAGTTGCATTACATAATTGTCAAAGTCCAGCTGATGGGTTAAATCAACAAGAATCAGCTTCTATCCATTTGTATACAATGGAATTTGATAGTGGACTAAGTTTATATGTTGTGCTTAATGAGTCATTACGTGCTGAAAATCGTGGAGATTTGAAACCATGGTTTTCGTATCTTAAATTATTTCTTACTGCTCTACATAAACTACCATCACAAAGTAGAAGAGTATGGCGTGGTATTCGAGATGTCGATTTAAGTTCAAAATACAAAACTGGTACAAAATTTGCTTGGTGGGGAGTAAGTTCTTGTACTGCTGATATGCAATTACTTGAGTCAGAGAAATTTCTCGGTAAACATGGACAACGTACTCTCTTTTCAATTGAATGCATCAATGGAAAATCTGTTTCAGCACATTCATATTTTAAAAATACCGAAAATGAAATTATTCTTATGCCAGGCTCATATTTCGAAGTATTAGGTCAATTAAATCCTGCACCTGAACTTCATATAATTGAATTAAAAGAAATTACACCACCAATGACACTTGTTAAACCACCATTTTCTAAATCGGACGAACAAAAACCTTCTATGGTCGTTAATGAACCAAATACATTGTCTCAATCAACATCAATAGAGATGACACCAATGCAACCTGTCAATATTGTTACAAATCAAATATCAGCAATGACATCAGGTATGAAAGATTTTATATTTTTCATTTTCATTTTTTCAAACAATTGTTTTTTTTTATCAATTAAACAACATTAAGAAAAATATGAGAGAAAATAGTATTCGTGACAAAGAATTATTCTCTGGATATATCAACTAGATAAATAAAATAAAAGTTAAATACAGCAGTTAACAGATATCAGTAATGATCACCTTGTCAATGAAAGAAAATCAATTAGAGGATCTTTTATGAAAGAGTGTTATATAATGATAAACTCATGGTGTTCGAGCAGCTCCAAACAACAATATTATTTATAGATATAAACTGTTTATTTTGAGTTATGTCACAGTTATTTAGTTAACTATTTCATATATACTTAAGCTTTAACTTAGATTATTACAAATATACTTCAGTGCATTTATTTTTTCATCATCATTCTCGTAATAAATTTTAAAATCTTTCTATAAAATATCACTTTATATAATTACTATAGTTATAGATACACATATTTGACTTTTTGGTTATCATCGATTCGTACTATGTATGACGTGTTACCTCTAAAATTGATTCGTATTTTAAGAAAAAATAAAATATGTTGATTATTATTATAATATTTTTGTTGGATTATCATGTGAAGTTATTTTCTTTAAAACATATTTCAATAAATTCTTAGAGGCAAAGACTAGAAAAAATTTTAAATACTTGAGAATAGTAAAGTACTTCTTTTTCATTTGAAATTCATATTGATTTTTAAAAAACACAAAAACTATTCAAATCTTCGTATTACGTAATTTCTTGAATATTTGTAAAACATATGAAATAAATTAAAATAAAAGATTCAATTATTTATAATTGAATGGCGTTTTTATTCTGCGATGTAATTGATTCGATATAACAGATTTGTTACATATGCTTGAACTAGACAACGGAAGACTCAGTAAGATGTTTTTACTTTTGTTGTACAAGAAAGAGCTGTATACAGGAACGGCGCGACCGGGAAGAGAATGGGAGTCACCCTCCCCCACTCAGAGAAAACTTCAGTTTGGAGAACAATTGTTGACTTTTTCCGATTTTAGGACTGACCTCCCTGCGCCACCCTTGGCTGTATAAGATCGTAAATCGGTCCATCGGACTTTTTTCAAGAAAACCCATACTATCTTATACCAAGTAAAAGATCTCCGATGTTTTTGAGCCTTAATTGCTATCACAGACCAATCTGTTATAGTACTCCTGTTCATATGATGGCAACAGAAAACAATTTTTTTAATTTCATCTAGTAGGTCACATAGTCCTCTAACACTGTTATCACTATCAAGTTTTTAGCTTTAGTTCTTTTGACTTTATAGTCGAAATACGACCCTCAAAAATTCGAAAAACCATCTTTAGACTGTCAGGCACGCACAGTGTAGATCTTCGTTCTCTTTAACGACAAGAGCAAACATCATCATTTTTTTTTTATGTTCGATTCTTAGAAACTAAAAAGCATTTGAGCTATGCTTTGTAAGACCTTTTAGGTTTTTTCTCATTTTCAAAAGTGATTCTGATTAGAGTGAGAGATTAATCAGATGTAAAGAGATATAAATACCGTTCAGAAACTGGAAATTCAAAAAAATCAAATAGCATTCAGTGTTTGTGGCACCTATATCGAGATTACACTAACCTGTTTTTGTAAATCTGTCAATGCGATTTTGTGTAAGTGTTTCAAGCTTCCTTATTTAAGAGTGTCTTGAATTTCTCGAACTCTGACTCGAATCCTGTTGAACTTCTAGTTCTGGAATGATAAGTACCCCTAAATGAATGCCAAAACTTACAGTCTAAAGTCGAATTAAAGTAGAAGAACAAAGTAAATGTCGATCCTGATCTATGATAAGACGAGTAGCTTTCGTTTTTGCTCAAAATATACTTCAATTTTCGTAAAGTAACAACAGATTTCTTTACAATTTTTAATGAATATGAATGGTATAATTGCTTGCCTTTGCTTTCAAATAATACAGATTCTGTCAGTGCATTCATTCGTTTTAGAAAGGTAAATACCACAGAATGTGGCCGTGGTTGTCTTATAACGTATACATCCACACTCACATCTTATGAAGTACTCCTTGACAATCATCGAGCTTGAAATTTTCACCGAAAAACGGTTACCATTAGGAAAAGTTTTCCTACAATTTGCACAACTTTAGCTGGTAATAAACTAGAGATTCGCACTGAAATCATTCTAGATAAATGTAGAACTCATTGTGTCTCGAATAAATAACGAATTCAAACGATTTTCTTGTCGAAAGTTGGCATTCATAAGAGTTTAATATCCATGGCAAAATAATGATAAAAACACTTAAAGTTCAATCAAAATAATAGAAATATATCCCTCTACTATCGAACAGTGCTAGTCAAAGTGTTTCTTCTCTTCAATCGTCCTCACACCCATACTCAGCTCGAGCGGAGGGGGTGTGACATCTCCCTCCCGAGTCGTGGAAAATTTTTGTTTTTTTCCTAGCAAAGCTAAGAATTTTTTTTTTCATTCTGTTGGAAAAAATCGTGACACTCCCTTCCATCCTCCAATATTGGTTGCTTCGGAGCACTACTGTATTTCACGCATTTTCATTCGCATGGCGCATCGGAAGGATTCAACTATTGACTTAAATAAGAAAAAAATTGGAGAATTTTTATTAACTTCAAATTTAGTGTGCATTTTTTCTGTGATGCCGTCTGTATGTCAATCATATGAATTAATATTAGCATAATGTGTAAAGTGAACTATTATCTATTTTAGAAATGGCTCAACCTCCGATACCTATGGTTTCGTTTCATCAAAAGACATTTGGAAAAAATATTCAACTAGATAATAATGCATTAAGAGCAACACGACATACATCATATGATGATGGTGATTTCTTCATTACTTTCTCATTCGAATTTTAATAATTGTACTTTTCTTTGACAGGTATTACATTTACAAATAGACAAATTGAAATGAATGAATATATACATATAAGAATTGATAGTAATGAAAGTCGTATATTGATGGGATCGTTAGCTATAGGTAAAATGAAAGACATGATTGAGTTGATGAAATTTTCAAAAAGTATGATTTTAGGTTTTACTCAAATCGATCCAAATACAATTCAAATCCATGAATTATGTAAATCTGCAGTACCAAATATTTGTCAAAAGACTGGATTATCGTATGTTAAACGTATTTTTGACAAGTTAACAAACCAAACTGTGATCTCATTTTATTATAATCAAGAGTTCGCTTTTTATTTAATAAAATTATCGATATATTTATTTTCTTTTTTTAGAGGAGCTTTTTATATATTCAATGGCCGAGAACACGAAATTTCTAGAACTATTGATTCTAGAATGCCATTGTGGGGTATTATTGATGTATACGCAAATGTTAAAAGTATATATAAATGAGTATTTCTGTAATTAGAGAAAAGAAGTATGTTCAGATTTTCGAAATTAGAAACACATGAAAAAGTAACATCTAACGAAATTACTTTCGCATAAGAAAGCATTTTTTGGAAAATTTTGAATATTACTAAAACATAAGAAAGAAATTTTAGCAGTTATTGCGAAACTTCGAATATTTCTAAGGCATTACCAAAAATTATTTTTAGCTTTGGAAGAAAAGTTTATATATTATTATAGGCTAATAATCTGATTTATTCATATCGATGTTAAAAATATTTTAGAAATTTCCTCTTGAGATATGATCAAAGGTCATATATTGAAAAGATCTCATTCTAATCTAACAAGTACTTTCTTGTTACATTTCTCAAAGGTTAAGAAAAAGGATGATGGAGAAATATACTCCAAAATAGATACAATAAAATAATCTCCCTGTAATTAGCAAGTACAGCTACATTGTGTTTCACATTTTAGCGTCACTGAAATTGCGCTAACCGCTTTTTTTTGCACGAAATTAATAAGCACACTATAAGCTGTTTTGGTTCGATAATCATGTTGTCTTTATTAAATCACTATTTTGTCTATTGTCAGGACTGAGGAGGTGGCAATCCTGTGAATCACAAGTTAGTTGTCTAGGATTTTGTGATTATAATATCACGTTCTATGTGTTTGTACTTCCAAAAATAGATATTCGCCCACCTCGAAGTTTTAAATCACTTCTCCAGTTTGTTCATAGGTAATGCATTCATGTTTTGTTAACTTTCGATCGAATTTTCTTAGCAATAACGAAGCGTAGAGCCTTGAAACTTGGAGTATATGTATATATAATAAAACACTTTAACATCTGTGCATTTCATGCAAATTGATTTTATGGTTCACTTTTTACACTAAAAATACATGCCGATAGCTCACTCACAAAATTTATAGAGGACAGTAAGAGGTCTGTGTAAAAAAAATCGTTTTGAAATTTCTTGTGTTGTTGAGAAGTTATACTATAAATATTGCAATAATGCACTATTGTTAGGATATAGAAAGCTTATTTTTGTTTTATTTTCGAAGTACTACAAGATTTGATGTTGAAATATAAACACGGATCGCTGAATCTATCAGGATGTCACAAAAGGAGTCATTAAAGAACAGAACATCGCTCGTATAGTTTGTCAGGACGCTGTGATATATGTATAACGTACACAATGCAACCTCGCACAGATCATTTGTCTATTTGTCCGAAGATAACAACGAACTCTTTACTTTCAATTTTCGGATGAAATTTTTCACAGAAAAGAACAGAAAACTTGAAGATTTAGGCTATTGATTAGTTCTGAAGTGACACTTAATCTTGATACTTTTTGGATCAATTGATTTTATAGTTGGTGCTAATCAAGGAAAATCGTATATTAGTATTGCATCCTCATAAGGAACTGCTTTTCTTGTAGTGTTAGATTTACTGAAGATTCATAGTCAAAGACAGTTGTGCGTCAAAAATTCAGGTCTATCTACTACACATTGTTTTTCAAAAGTATCATGCTGTTTGCATGATGTAGTCTAAATATTGTCAAATTTCTCTCCTTAAACATCTAGTTAATTTTTCTAATTCTACAATAAAAGTTTCTTTTCCCCTTTACAAAACATTTGAAATTTTATTGTAATTTATTTCATTTTTGTGCGACTGAAAAAGACATTCAATCATTATCAATATAATGATCGAATTGAAAATTGTCTGATGGCTAAAAACCAAGTATTATCAGTCAAAAGATTAAAACAAAAATCACATGCTAAAATGAGGATTGAGTGAGAGCGTTACCATTTTATTTGTTAACAAACATGAATAACTGAAGAGTAAGTCGAGCATTGAATAGTCTATGAAAAGTTAATGAATAATTCTGAGCGATTGGGAAAATTCTCTGGAGTTGCGGCACAAAATAAACTAAGAGCCTTTTTTAGTAATGCACACACGTGAGAATTTATTTAAGTTTTAAGGCAAGTTCCATATTCTTCCCCAGGAGTTACGTAACAGATGAAAATTATATGAAAAGAAAGCCCTACTTTCACATACTGAGAATATATGTCACTAGTTAATTTTTAGTTACGTTTTTCTTTTTTTTTCCCATTGTTTTCTTCGAATCTATGAAAATGACGCAAATTTTCAAGAAAACGCGTCAAGTCGGTTTTGCACATCATTTTTCCGCTTATTGAAAGAAAAGATATAATAAAGTACGCTTTCTAACATAGTAAAGTGTGTCCTATAATATAATGTTATTATCTTCTGAAAATATTCAGGTTCCACTTTACTCATTCTAGTTGACCATTAGTCGGACAAATTGGTAAAATACTCAGTTAAATATGCGAAAACTTGGCAATGTTAAGAGAAAAACAAGGATTAACATAATGATCTTCAGTGTATAACAAGTTTTATTAACAGAGATCTAAAATTCCAGAGAATACATCCTATTCCGCGATGTTGAACATTGCGGCATCGATTCCGCCCCCGGAATCAATTCCACCGATTCCGGAACCGGATCAACCCCACTTACAATCAATTCCGGAATTCCTCGCATCAATTCCGGAATTAATCGCACCAATTCCGGAATTAATCGGACTGATTCCGGAATTACTCGGCTCGATTCCGGAATCGCCCACTGGCATTCCTTCTTGCCCTCACCCTCACATTGGCTATTGCGCTTAGAGCAAGCGAGCGATTCCGCAGAGGAATTCCCGGAATTGAATTGAGACGGAATCACTAAGAATTCCACGGAATTCCCCGGAATTCCGGAATTGGAAGAACCGATTCCGTATCCGGAACTGTGAGAAGAGATTCCGTATCCGGAACTGGGAGAAGCGATTCCGGATCCGGAATTATAATAAGCGATTCCGGATCCGGAATCCCTAACTAGCATTCCTTCTTGTCCTAACCCTCACATTTGCTATTGTGCTTAGAACAAGCGAGCGATTCCGCAGAGGAATTCCCGGAATTGAACTGACACGGAATCACTAGGAATTCCACGGAATTCCGCGGAATTCCGGAATTGGAAGGGGCGATTCCGGATCCGGAATTGCAAGCACCGATTCCGGATCCGGAATCCCTAACAAGCATTCCTTCTTGCCCTCACTCTCACATTCGCTATTGTGCTTAAAACAAGCGAGCGATTCCGCAGAGGAATTCCCGGAATTGAATTGAGCCGGATTCACTAGGAATTCCGGAATTGGAAGAACCGATTCCGGAGAGAATACAGCCCATTCCGCGATGTTCAACATTCGGGAACCAGTTCCCACCCCGGAATTGATTCCGCCGATTCCGGAACTACATTCAACCACACCATAATCTGATTCCGGAATCATTTACAACAGATCCTATCGATTCCGGAATCGCCCAGCCATGGCATCATTCTCATCCGCTGAGGCTTATAAGTGCATCCAATTCCGGGGCGCAATCCCGGGTATGTAACGGATCCGGAATCGCACGGAATTGGAAGGAATTCCGCGGAATTCCTTGTGATTCCGGAATCGCTCAGCTTTGGCATGGCAGTCATTCTCTGAGGTTTATAACTCGATGTAATTCCGGGACGGAATTCCGGGTATGCGACGGATCCGGAATCGCACGGAATTGGAAGGAATTCCGCGGAATTCCTTGTGATTCCGGAATCGCTCAGGCTTGGCATGGCAGTCATTCTCTGAGGTTTATAACTCGATGTAATCCCGGGATGGAATTCCGGGTGTGTAACGGATCCGGAGTCGCACGGAATTGGAAGGAATTCCGCAGAATTCCTTGTGATTCCGGAATCGCTCAGCTTTGGCGTGGCAGTCATCCTCTGAGGTTTATAACTCGATGTAATTCCGGGACGGAATTCCGGGTCTGCAACGGATCCAGAATCGCATGGAATCGGAAATAATTCCGCGGAATTCCTAGCAATTCCCACCAATTCCGGATCCGCTGAAATGCGGAATTCCTGACCGGAATCGGATGATGATTGCATCGATAAAGATCGATAGAATACAAACACAGGTTGCAATTCCGGATTTCGATGGAATCGAACGGATCCGGAATCGCAAGGAATTGGAAGGAATTCCGCGGAATTCCTTGTAATTCTGGAATCGCTCAGCCTTGGCATGCCAGTCATCTTCTGAGTTTTATAACTTGATGTAGTTCCGGGACGGAATTCTGTGTATGCAACGGATCCGGAATCGCATGGAATCGAAAGGAATTCCGCGGAATTCCTAGCAATTCCCACCGATTCCGGATCCGCTCAAATGCGGAATTCCTGACCGGAATCAGATGGTCATTACATCGATAAAGATTGATAGAATAGAAATACAAGTTGCAATTCCGGAACTAGATGGAATCGGACGGAATTGCTATCAATGCCCACCGGTTCCGGTGTTGTTGAATTTAAGTATTCCGGGATTAAACGGAATTCCTAGGAATTGGTGTGGATTTAGTTTGTATTCGGTTCCGGAATCGCTGGAAGCAATTCCGGGGTCGGAACTGGTTGCGGAATGTTCAAGTTCGCGGAATAGGATGACTGCTCATTCCGGATCCGGAATTGGAAGATGCGATTCCGGATCCGGAATTGGAAGATGCGATACCGGGTCCGGAATTGGAAGATGCGATACCGGGTCCGGAATTACGAGAAGCGATTCCGGATCCGGAATCGGAGCTTGCAATTCCGGATCCGGAATCCCTAACTAGCATTCCTTCTTGCCCTCACCCTCACATTTGCTATTGTGCTTAGAACAAGCGAGCGATTCCGCAGAGGAATTCGCGGAATTCAATTGAGCCGGATTCACTAGGAATTCCGCGGAATTCCGGAATTGGAAGAACCGATTCCGGATCCGGAATTGGAAGATGCGATTCCGGATCCGGAATTAGAAGATTCGATTCCGGATCCGGAATTACGAGAAGCGATTCCGGATCCGGAATTACGAGAAGCGATTCCGGATCCAAAATCGGAGCTTGCAATTCCGTATGCGGAATTGCTTCTTCCAATGCCGGAATTCCTAGTGATTCCGTGTGAATTCAATTCCGGGAATTCCTCTGGGGAATCGCTCGCTTGTTCTAAGCACAATAGCGAATGTGAGAGTGAGGGCCAGAATGAATGCTAGTTAGGGATTCCGGATCCGGAATTGCGAGTATGCGGTTCCGGAATTGCGGGCATGGATCCCGGAATTGATTGAAGTTGTGGTTGGATCCAGTTCCGGAATCGTTGGATTCGATTCCGGGCGCGGAATCGATTGCACGATGTTGAACATCGCGGAATAGGATGACTGCTCAAATTCCAAATTTAAGTATTTCTATACCATCGAAATTCATGAAACAAAATTTTTATGTCGTTGTGTTTTCTTCTGAATTATTCGTCAGTAAAGCCCTCCGAAGTCAAATTTTTCGATTCTCAAATTATTTTCAATAACATCACACTGATAAAATCACACTTTTATTCTTAAGGTGTTGTTTTAACCACTCCACCAAAAAGAATTCTCGATGCTAGAACATTTTTTATCAAATATGAAAGTCAACCACATAATCTATCTATTCGGTATTTTACCCATTTACAACCTACAAATTTGCAACCAATTGTTTTTCACGATGTTCATGGACCAGAACTTGAGTTATATTGTGAAAATAAAGTTGTCTTTCGAAAAAGTATGTTTAAACTTATAATATAGGAATTATTCAATATATAGATATGTTTTATATGTGTTAGATGTTCGAAAACTAACACGACCTTATTTATTCATTAATTTCCCAATCAAACCTGGTGATGAATTTTATATACGTATTTTATCCATTGACTTTAACTATGGAACACCGTAAGTAATTTTTTCTCTTGAAACTCTATTCAATAACATAATATTTTGTTTTTAAAGAGGAATTATTGGTTTTACCAATAGTAAACTATCACATATTCTCGCAAATTTTGATAAACTACCAGCTGATGATCCAATGGATTTATATAATCGTCGTGAATTTTGGATTATCAATAAAGATGGATTCGATGAAAGATTGAGTGAACTTGATGAATATCGTTTTGTATACGATCAAAGTGGTGATATTTATATGTGTCGTAATAACGAATCCATCTTACCAACAAGAACTGTAGCACATATTGATCCAAGTCAAGAATTTTATCCATTTTTTTTTCTCAACGGTCGTATAGCGGCTTTCTCTTTGATGGGTCTTGTTTCACCTACTAGAATAGTGCCTCATTCGCTGACACTGATAAACGATCGTAATGATGATTTCGGCATTTGTCAATTATGCTGCGATGCACCAGCAAACTGTGTAATGTTTCCATGTGGTCATGTTTTCTTTTGTTCTAATTGTAAAAGTCGATTTGAGGAACAATCGAAAAGAATCTGTCTAATCTGTCGAAAAGCGATTGAGAATATTTTTGAAATTGAGAATGATTAGTCGAATGGTGTTTGTTTTTGTCATTTTGTTTTTTTTACATGAGGAAAAAATAAAAAATAAAAGAGTGTCTTTAATAGATTGGTCTCTTATTTCATTACTTTCATCATCAATTGAACAATGTAAATCTATTGAATTTATACCATTAACATCAACTGATGAATATAAAGTACATTGTTATTGTGAAAATATTTATTTATGTTATTCATTAATTTTTTCACATAATTATCAGCAATATAAGCAATTACAGAGGATTTATTTTTATCATTAGAAAAATATAGTTGATAAAATAT